CCTTAATCAAAAGTTCTCTCTCGTTACCGAGAGAGGTAATTAACTATAGGAGCTTGCAGATACAAGAAACCTGAACATATACCATAAAGTCCTCACAAAATGAGGGCAAATTATGTGGGTAATGTCTAATTTAATACCCAATCTGACATCTAAAAATTTGCCTAAACTTAACTGTTAAAACTCTCCTCGACATACCCAAAAAGAAAAGAAAGGGGTCATGGAGAGGCTGGAACACAAATTTTTGGAGCCCATAGTCAGTTAGAGGCAATTATATTTTTCTATAAAAATAGTAATAAAACTATTGTAGGAAGAGAAGATTTTTCAAAAGCTAACGTGGGTATCATAAACTTATCTTCCTTCTGAAAAATCCAAACACCAGCTTTCTTAGAGCTAACATCAACCAATCTAATTGTAAAATGTTGGTTTTTATAAAAAAAATTTAAAAAAAAAATTATAGCAATAAAAAACTATAGCTAAATTGATGCATTTATATTTTGATTTATTTTATTTCGATGTAATTTGAACAATATTAGTTGTGTTTTATGTTTTTTTTAGCTATCCAATAATGGAGAACATCCAATGATCATGGTAGGATATGCTTGGGCATGACAAGGCTTGGATTTGCTTGCATTTGGGCCCTTTTGTCCTTGGGTTGTTTGTTGTATTTCGGTTTGGGCCTTGGCTGCTCTCGGGTTAGGCTTTGGCTACTTGGTTTTGAGCTAAAAAAAGTTGGGTTCTACTTGGTGATAGCTCATTAATGCTTGAGCTAAAGTTTAGCTCATTATTTGGAGGAGTACTTGCACTTCCTAGCTCATAAATTCATAAAGGTATGTGGAGTGGTTCTTGACTCTTCCCCTTCTTGTATCTTTTTGGTTCCTTCTTTGTGTTGTTCCCGTGATACATTCTGGATATTTGTGTGGGCTCTTCGGTTTCTCCCCCCCTGGCTGCTTTCCCGTGGCTCCTCTGTCATGTTTCCTGTGTTGGCTCCTCGGGTCCCTCTCTGGCTGCTTTTCTGTGGCTCCCTGGTTGTGTTTCTCGTCGCTTTCCTTCCTATTTTATGTGCAATTTTTGGGGGCTATTGTCCCCAAACCGGATTGGTTTTGGTTGGAGGTGGAAGGGCTATTAAGCTTCTTTCTTTTGCTTATAAATTGGAGAAGTTTTGGAATGAAGAATCTTGTTGAATATTTGAGCAAAATCTCTACTAAAAACATGAGGGTTTCTTCTCTTGGAAAAGCTTGAGAGCTTGTTCCACCTCCTTTCCTCCTCTCTATTTCGTCTTGGCTTCTAACATCTTCTTCTCTACACAAGTTCCACTCCACCTACATCTTTCTTCTAGAGCAATTGGAAGTTGTTTGTTGGCTGATTTTGGGAGACATTTTATCGGAGGAGTTTGGTAAGACGATGGATCCTTTTGCAATGGCGGACCCTCGGTTTGCAAGCCTAAGCACTATTTCTCATATATTTTCCTACTCTCGTTGCATGTGAGGAAACCGCTTGACGGTTGTTCTGAGGATAGCATTTTTATGTTATAATTTTGTTTCGTTTGATTTCACTTTTCGTTCATCTGAATGTATGTTTGGATATTTCCAAAGTTAAAGTGAATCGAGTTTGGTTTTGTTGTCCTTGTGTTCTCCAACTTGACTTTTCTATCTAGTTTGCTTGCATCATAAATAGAACTGAAGTAGCTTTCTACGAAATAAAGCTACAAAAAGGCTGCCCCAGGCAGATCCAAAGTCTGTGCAGCAGGTCTTCATAAGGAATAAATTGGGCCCCAATATAAAAAATAGAACTTTGGAAGACGTTGTGTCACCATAATTAGAAGCTATGATGGATAAAAAAAATTATAAACATCACAATGGGAAATATGACCACACCTAAGTAAAATAATAGTTGAGGCATGCCCATTTTGGCCATTTGATGCTTTATCGAGGGATAAAAAACACAAATAAATAAAGATAATTGTAAACAAGGGATACTTAATTAAAAAATAGATTTATCTTGCCTCAAAGTTACAAGATAAAGAACCAATAAGACTGTGAGCCCATCTGATGAGGACATCAGAGCATGAATCTAAGGCGTGGTCGTCGATCTACGACCACGATCACGTCGATAACTTTTGAGTTATTCTACGTATTTGTTTTATTTTGTTATTTATCTTTTATTGTTATGTTGTAATTGTTTTTCCGTCTTTACCCCTTTACTTAAAGGGAGGTTGTATGTAAGCCCTGAGGGTATTGTTGTCCTTTCATTTTCTTGAGTCCTTATACTTGGCTATTTATAGCCCTATGTTCTCTTTGAAAAGTAATGAATGATTATTATGAAATTTTTCCTGCACTTGTGTGTTTGAGAGCTTTTGAGAGTTCTTGGAGAGAGCTTTGAAGAAATCCCTAGGAGAGGGAAACTTGGATCACCCACCAACCTTAAAGACGGCCGGGTTCGTGGTTCTTCATCTTTATCTCGTTGTCACCTTCTCTTCATCCCTTAGCCGCTGGTCAAGGGTTCTCCCGGATCCATAAGCCGCCGGCCATCTAGCCCCACCAGCACCCGCCGCCTATGTCCCCCACCCCATCCCCTCTCCACGGCCAGAGCCTTACCCGAGCCCTCTTGGCCGCCGGCCTTAAGCTTCTAGCTGCCAGCTACTTTCCCCTTCTCCCACCTTTTTTTTGAATTTCCCCCTCTTTTATTTATTTCCTAATATGGATTGAATATATCTAGGATTATATTTGAATTCAAATTCAAGTAGTTTGAAATTCAAAATCTCTCCTAAAATACAAAGTCTATTTTAGGAAAGTCTTTCCCTGTCATTCAAATCTATTTAAGATTGATTAGAATTTTAAAATCTCCTTTCCTAATTTAGATTGAATCAAAGTTGGATAGATTTTGAATTGAAATACAATTGATTTGAAGTTCCAAATCTTCCTTAATTTACTAAATCTATTTTAGGAAGGTTTCTTAATTACTCCTATTTGAATTTTGAATAAGAAAGAATTTAATTAAATCTTTCTTATTTCTTAATTATGAATTAGGAAATCTCTTTTAATTCCCCCACATCCCCTCCCTCTCTCCTATAACCGCCCCCCCCCCAAACGCTCTTGAATTCCTTTGGGAATTCTTTCCATATTGCTAGTTGCTCTCTTGGAAAGAAATCAATCCCCTCCACCTCTATTGGCTGAGTTTCCCTTCAACCCCACGTCTTTAAATCTTTCCAAAACACCTCTCTTTTACTTTGGAAATTAAACTCCAACATAACTCCCTGCTGGCCGAATTATCCCAAGCTCCTTGCATTGGTTTTCTCCACCAAATCCTGCCCACAATTCCTCCCGCAAAGAGCCTTCTACTTACTAGTGCTGCAGCCAAGGATTTCCCACTCCTACTCTCACGTCTCCAGCAACAAGAAGCCTTATAGTTGCTGTTTGCAAAGACCAAACTGCTGTTCAGAAGTTTCCGCTGGACTATTTTTACTACAGCACCATTGGAGAACTCTCTTCTTGCCGACCAACACTTCCCAAAGTCAAAACAGTGACTTCTAGCATGGATGGTTGACCCGGAAACAAAATACGGCATCTCCTACGACAAACTTCTTCAACATCTCGACTACTTGTTTCCGGATTTTGACCAAGGTGAACTTCTCCCCCTCTTCAATTACCTTTCTAATCCTCTAATCTTGTAGGTGATGACGAACCACAAGGAGTCGAGTTGCACCACTGTCAAATCCTAGTAAACGTAGGATTTTATTTCGCCGTTGTCAAAGCTTAGTAAACATAGGATTGAGTGTACTTTCTATGTTTCTAATCTAATTGCTAGATTAGGGATTTCGTTGAACTCTATTTACTTTGCATGTTATTGAATTTCTAAATTGTTTTGATTTTCCAAGTGCTTGGCATGTAACTTAGCCTAAACAGAAGTGACCGCTCTTATGTTTTATTTGATCGTTTTAATTTGCTAATAGTTATAATCTTACCTACTCTTATCAAGGAATTGTGCAAATTCTTTTATATTCATTTTAAGCATTTAGTTCTACATCACCATCATAGCTACAGCTATAACTAGGAGCTATCCAGAAGAACTTAGTTGCACTAAGAATAATTCCAAAACCAACTTCCGACAAATGGAGCATCAAAGTCAAACCAGTTGAGACAAGGGTGACCCAAACAAAATAGGGTAAGGCACATTCATCATCACTATCATTAACCATATCCCAAATAACTGAGATCCATTTTATTAAGTCATATCCTCCATTCTTCCCTATTGAACTTATTGTCTGCAAATGATTTTCCATAATTGTTATTCATGTTTCATTTGGTTTATACCTTGTCCTTTAAAATCACTTGACATTATTTTAATCTAACATATCTTAGTGGAACATTTTCTACCCTTCATTATACGTGCAAATCACATAAACTCTATTTTTTACAATTTTATCTTCAATAGATATGCAACCCCCAAATAACTGGTAGGTTTTAATCATTTGATGATCATACTCCCATTATCCATCTAATATAATCATTTCTCAAACTAGCCTTTCTAATTTTATCACATCACCATCTTCACATTATTATTGCTGTCAGGCAGAACTTGGCTATCAATAACTTCTTTACCACCCAATATTGGGATTCATATAACATAGTTGGTCTAAGTCTCCACAAAATTTTGTTATAAAATGATACTTTCAAAACACTTCTTTATTTTAACCATCAAAAAGTTATATCCTCATCTATATTCCAATCTTCTACATGATATATCCATTACATTATTTTATTGACGAGGATTTATTACGGTTAAATCTAAGAATTTGTTTCTGGTGTACAGTGACAGAAAAGTCCACCGTGCTATAGGAGTTACTGCCACTCAGTTCAAATGAGAGTTCCACGATTAATTTAATAGCTTTTATGTTTAATGTGCTTATATTAAGTTAAACACATCTGCCTCCAGAGGAATAACATTTAGAGCCAATAAATTTATTAAAAGATTATATGGATCAAAACTGAAAATAAACATACCTTTGCTGACAGGAAGATTATGTAGTATCATCAACAGTTCTTGATGATTTTTTGCCAAGATGTCTTTAATCTCACGTGGCTTGTTTGGATTAGCAACAAATACCTGACCATCCAAGAAAGTAGGACGGAATCATGGAATGCGCTAGTCAGGAAGGCAGCAAATAAACACAACAGTTATATAGTCGAAGTCCTATTGAACTTCTCTGAATGAATTAGATTTAATGTCTCAGGTCCCAAAGATTTAATCAGCAGAGCTATATAAGCTTAAGCCCCTTACAACAATGAAAATATTTGGTGTCATAATAACTAATTATAGAAATGAGAAAATTAAGATCAATAATAAAACTAAAAATGATTGAATGTAAAAAGGAAAACCAGCTTTGCTACGATTACAATAAACTCCCTTAACCAAACCACTGCTCATGAGTCATCAGCTCAATGTTGAACAAGTATGCGGTCAAATATCACATCAAATAGAACAAAAATGAAAAGAACATGAAAGAGACAAATTAAAGTTAACGGTTAAAAGTTCAAAAATATTTGCATGAATTAGAATTGGCATTTCACTTTGCACCAACAAGAAAAGAATGGATATGGAGGTTTCATAAAAGCCAAATAGTTTAGATAAGGTTAAGGATGAGATGTGATAGTGTCATAAGTTAGAGAATGTTACACAAATTCAAATGTTTAGGAGATATCAACAGGATCAAAAAATCAATATAACAGGTTCCCTGGCCATTGTCAATACCAACAAAGACTTGAAAAGGTTCAATTTTTCACTTAACCAAAACATTATTACCTGTAATCTATACATGCAGATGCTACACTTTATAAATTTGTTTTCTTTCAAGCACTATATTTGTTGAGATATCAAATCCCAACAAGACAGTAATTTCCTATAAATATTTATACGTATATATAAATATCTGTGATCACCTGTTAGTTTGATGGTAAGAGACAACCCATATCTGTCAGGTACGAAGTTAAAAAAATGTGTGAAATATAAACTCACCTTGAAAATGTGGAAGGCTAATATCTGGACATTTTTGCTCGAATCCTACATCAGAGAAAGCAAACAAAAGAGTAAACTATAAAGAAACATAGTATATGGTAACAGCATCGACAAATATATGAAACAGATCCACTTTAAACGACCTAGAAATAAATATCGCATCATGTCAGCAACAAGATCTTCGTGAGGCAAACAACAACAACATCATCAAGCCTTTACCCCACTACGTGGGGTCGGTTACATGAATTCTTTTTCTCCATTATGTCTAGCTAAAAGTCAAATTTTCATTTAAATCTAATAAAAAATGTCATCTCTAATATTTCTAACGAAGTCCTTTTAGATCTACCTCTCTTAACATAGGTCAAATCTAATACATCTACTCTCCTAACTGGGTCATCAAAAGGACGACGTTTTATGTGACCAAACCATCTAAGGGGACTTTCTCTAATCTTATCTTCCACGGAAGATATCCAACTTTTTCACGAATATGCTCGTTTCACATTTAGTCTCTAAGAGTAAAGCCACTTAGGGCTGCAAACGAACCAAGCCGAGCCGAGTATGTGAGTGTTCATTTAATATCAGCTTGTTCATGTTTGGTTCATGTTTGTTCGAGCTTTATTGTTTGTGTTCATGTTTGATTCATTTAAATTAATGAGTGTTCATGTTCGGTTCATGTTCAGTTCATGTTCGTTCGTTTAGTGCTTATCGAGCTTGTTCGCGAACATATTTAACAATTTTTTTTTAACTATCAAACAAATACGTTCATGAACAAATCTATGAACAAACACATTTATAATAAAAGCAATTGTCTATGTAACAAAGGCAATGATTATTTATATTTATTAATTTTATAGTCAAATATTAATTATTTTTATCTAGCTTATTCATGAGTTCAAAATCGAACACGAATCAAGCTTTTATCGAGCTTCTTATCGAGCTTGTTCACGAACTTCAAATGATGTTGTTCGCGAACATAAATGAGCCAAACGCATTAGTGTTCAAGTTTGTTTATTTAAGAATCGAGTATTTAAAATATTGTTCAAGTTTGTTTGTTTAGCTAATTAAACGATCACAAACGAGCTTTAATCGAACCAAACAACGAGTAGCTCGACAAACGTTTGGTTCGCTTGCATCCCTAAAGCCACTCATCCACCTGAGCATCCTCATCTTCGCAATACTTAACTTAATTGTATAAAGCATTGCAACATTCTGCAGCATAAATCATTGCACTCTCTTTTAATGGCCAACATTCTACACTCATCCACTCTCTTTTAATGGCCAATATTCTACAGCATAAAGCATTGCAGGTCTCACCACCATCTTATAGAATTTTCCCATAAATTTGAGGAGTACTTTTCTATCACACAATAGGCCCAGTGTATTCTTCAACTTCAACCATCCAATTTGAATTCAACTAATAATATCCCCATCTATTTCTCCATCACTGTAGCCAATAGACCTGAGATATCTAAAATGGGCACTATTACTAATGACTTGATAGTCCAAAGTCACAATTCCCCCATTAGATCTATTACTACTAAAATTACACTCCATGTTTTAAATTTTAGATCTACTCAAAAGAAAACCCGTAGCCTCTAAGCTTGACCTCCATAATTCAAGTTTACCTTCAACTTCCTCTATAATCTTATCAACAAGAAGAATATCATCTCTGTTTAAAATTGCGCAACAAGAGGCGCGCCCCTCTGCGCAATTTTGTCCAAAAACGCCCCGAGGCGGACGCAATTCGGGGACTTGTTGAGGCGTACGCCTCACATTGGCTGAGGCGCATCTCAGTTGCGCGGTTGCGCAATTTTGAGGGAGGCGTACGCCTCAGCCAAAAGGCCCCACCCACTTAAAATGACCCCTTCTTTTCCCCCACACCCGTTCGGCCCAGTTATTTCCTGAAATCTGCCGCCCGTAAGCTCCAGTTCGTGAAAAATAGAGGAGCCCGCACGGTCGGCCTCCAATCCCGCCGCCTCTCTCGCCGGCGCCTCCTCTCTCCGGTGAACTTGAAGCGTCCGGCCGCCTTCTAGGAGAAGTCCACAAACGATTTTAGGTATTTTTATTTAGTTTTTGGTTAGATTTTTCAAGTTAAAGGGAATCTAGGGTTTATGATTTTTTGAATTATTTTGTTTGATTTTGGATTTTTACATTAGGGATCATGGTTAGAGGCAAGGAAAAGGGGTCTGCGTCATTGCGGAGGGACCCTTCTTGGAAATATAGTGTACAAGTTGACATAGGCGGCGGAGAGAAGAGCTATGTTTATTTGAAATGCAATTTTTGCGATAAAGTGGTGAAGGGAGGTGTTACCCGCATGAAGGAACACCTATCATGCTCGCACAAAAATGTAGCACCCTGTGCAAAAGTGCCGGACAATGTGAAGGAAGAAATAAGTGCTTACATGAAGAAAACTACCACTGCTAAACACTTACAACAGGAGCAATTTGATGAAAGGGTCGAGCATGGTGCTTATTTTGGGAGCGAGAGTGGAAAGGGCTCTTCCTCCACTATACATAGTAGAGGTGCACGGGGTCCTATGGACGGATTAACATCCTTGTCAACAATCCCTACGGCACGGTGTTCTTACGATCAGTTGATGCTTCAGAGGAGGTGAAAAATGCTACATTCATTTTCAATTTACTTGATGGTGTTATTGAGGAGATGAGACAGATTTGTCATTATCAGACTTACAGTTAGAAGATCTAAGTGTGGATGTCTTGAGGGGCGAAG